AGACCTCATCTCTACAATAAATCAAAAATTAGCCGGGTGTGGTAGCACGCGCCTGTAGTTACAGTTACTTAGAAGGCTGAGGCAGAAAGATCACTGGCGCCCAGTAGGTCGACGCTGGGGTGGCCGTGAGCGTGCCCCTGCCCTCCAGCCTGGGTGACAGAGTGAGACTCCGACTCAAAAAAACCAAACCAAACAAAACAAAAGAAAACCAAACCAGCAGCCGCTCACTTGCGGGTCAACTGTCAAGGCAGGAGGGCGACAGGGAGCCTCATTTTCCCCCTTCCTGCCTGTGAACCCCCGAGGCCTCCCCCACTCACTGACCATCACCCCATGGCAGGACCAAAGCTCCCTGCTGGTCCCAGGAGCATGGCCAAGGGCCCGCGGGGCATGTGTGCGGCCGTTACCTCCTTCACGGAGCCCGTCAGCTCCCCCAGCTTCTTCCTGATCACCTCGCTGGTCCGCACGGTTTCTGACTCGATGGTTTTCTGAGGTAGAGAACATCACTTCCTTTTATCCTTGTGTTCCAATACCACAGTGAGATTCTCATACAACCAAAGGGACCAAGGAGCATTTTGTTAGCAGCCCCTGTCTCGCCGCAGAGCCTGCACCCGCCTCAGTCTGCCTTGGCTGTCTCCAGGGCTTGACTTGCAGGTCTCAGCAGCCGCAAGCTTCTTGCCCAGAGGCCATCAGACTCAGACCCTCCTGGGCAGCCACCTTTGGAGCAAGAAGGCCCCAGCCCACCCGTTCACGGGGTGGCAGATGGGGGTCTGACCATCTGATCCTGGCCTCACTCGGCCGTCTACCCAGCCTCTGGCCACGGCCACTGCAGCTCAGTCTTGCGTCTCCCACCCCATTCTGCCTGCCCCAAACACAGCCTGCTCCAACCCCAGTTGATCCCTTCCTTTGATAAAGGGCCAAGCCAGGCATGGTGGTGCACGCCTATAATCCCAGCACTTTGGGAGGCCGACACGAGTAGATTTGCCTGAGCCCACGGGTCTGAGACCCACCCAGGCAACTTGGCAAGACCTGGTCTCTACAATAAATCAAAAATTAGCCAGGTGTGGTAACATATAGTTCCGGCTACTTGGAAGGCTGAGGCGGAAGGATCACCAGAGCCCAGCAGGTCAAGGCTGCAGTGGCTGGGAGCATGCTACTCCACTCCAGTCTAGGCGACAGAGTAAGACTCCAACTCAAAAAAATTAAAAATAAAAAATAGGCCGGGCTTGGTGGCTCAGCCTGTAATCCCATGCTTTGGGAGGCCAAGCTGAGTGAATTGCCCGAGGCCGTGGGTTCGAGACCTGCCCGGGCAACTTGGCGAGACCTCATCTCTACAATAAATTTAAAAAAACTAGCCGGGCACGGTAGCGCGCTTGTAGTTCCAGCTATTTGGAAGGCTGAGGCGGAAGGATCGCCACAGCCCAGCAGGTCGAGGCTGTGGTGGCCGGGAGCGTGCCATTGCACTCTAGTCTGGGTGACAGAGTGAGACTCCAACTCAAAAATAAATAAATAAATAAATAAAATAAAAAATAACCTGGGTGTGGTGGTATACACCCACAGTCCCAGCTACTCTGAAGGTTGAGGTGGAAGAATCACTGGAACCTAGGAATTGGAGGCTATGGTGAGCTGTGACAGTTCCACTGCACTCCAGCATGGGTGACAGAGTGAGACCTCGACTCAAAAAACATAGGGAAAAAAAAGAACCAGGCATGGTGGTATACACCTCTGGTCCTAGGTACATAGGTGTGCACCACCATGAGCCCAGTGGTTTGAGGCTCAGTAAGCTATGATCATGCCACTGTATTCAAGTCTGGATGACAGAACGGAAAAAAAAAAAAAAGCCAAGAAACTGACCAGCAGGACAGAAGGGCATGAAACCCTGCATTTATCCCAAGCTCTCAGAAGCCAGTGCGGCTGGCCAGCGACCACCCTGTTGCTGCAGAGAACTCACGGCCGAACCAAGAGGCCTGGTGACCTGCTCCTGTCCCCAGCTCCCTCTCATCAATGCAGGGACCTCACTTCCTCCAACCCGTCCCTACCACTCTGGCACCAAGTGCCTCTGACTGTCCCTGGCCCAGAGAGACGGGAAGCAAAGAGACTCACGTATTTCCTCCTGGCCTCCTGCAGCGCGTCTGACTCTTCCAGCTTCCTGGCCTCATCTCGGAATTTTTTTATACTTTCTTTCATTTCTTTGTTTTTGGCTAATTCTTGTTTGATATTATCTAGCAAGCCAGACAGAAAGCCTTTTCTGTGTCCAGAAGAATATGATTTGGACTACAAAGGATGTAAAAGAAAAAATTAGAGAACAGACTAGAAAAACACATGCCGAAATGTTCCACAAAGAAACTACCATGGATTTTTAAAGCTTCTCCTTTCTGCTGCTGAAGGCTTAATGATAATCAGATGTCTCTTATATAACAGTAATAAGAGACAAATTAGGCCTGGTGTGGTAGATCACGCCTATAATCCCAGCATTTTGGGAGGCCGAGGCCAGAGGACTGCCTGAGCCCAGAGGTTTGAGACCAGCCTGGGCAACTTGATGAGACCTTGCCTCTACAATATATCAAAAACTTAGCTGGCTGTGGTGACATGTGCCTATATAGTTCAGCTACTTGGAAGGCTGAGACAGAAGGATCACCTGAGCCAAGCAGGTTGAGGTTGCAGTAGTCGTGAGCATGCCACTGCACTCCAGCCTGGGTGACAGAGTGAGACTCCAATTCAAAAAAAAGAGCTCAAGGTAAAGGTTTCTTAAGATAAAAAACATGCAAACTGGGCATGGTGGCTCACATCTGTAATCCCAGCACTTTCGGAGGTGGAAAGCAAGAGGATTATCTGAGCCCACGGGTTCAAGACCAGCCCAGGGAATATGGTGACACCTCATCTCTACAATAAATAAAAAAATTAGCCAGGCATGGTGGCGTGTGCCTGTGGTTCCAGTTACTTGGAAATCTGAGGTGGAAGGATCACCGGAGCCCAGCAGGTGGAGGCTGCAGTGGCCATGAACGTGCCACTGCACTCCAGCCTGGGTGACAGAGTGAGACTCCAAATTTAAAAAAAAAAAAAGAGGCTGGGCTCGGTGGCTCAGCCTGTAATCCCAGCACTTTGGGAGGCCAAGGCAAGTGGATTGCCTGAGCCCTTGGGTTCAAGACCAGCCTGGACAACTTGGCAAGACCTCGTATCTACAATAAAAATTTAAAAAATTAGCTGGGCATAGTAGCGCGTGCCTGTAGTTCCAGCTACTTGGAAGGCTGAGGTGGAAGACTTGCCTGAGCCCAGTAGGTCGAGGCTGCGGTGGCCATGAGCGTGCCACAGCACTCCAGCCTGGGTGACAGAGTGAGACTCCAACTCAAAAAAAATAAATGAAAAGAAAAAAGAAAAAGACAAATTAAAGGAACACCAGGTGATAAACCATGGTACATTCAGACAATGGACTATTGTTCAGTGCTAAAAAGACAGACACAGAGGAATCCTAAATGCACATCATCGAGGGAAAGGCACTGCTGACTCCAACTCCGGGACCTTCTGGAAAAGGCCAAACTGTGGAGACAATAAAAGATCAGTGGTCGCCAGGGGCTGGGGAGGGAGGAATGAACAGGTGAAGCCACTCCCTGTGATACTGTCACAGTGGGGCCACGTCACCACATAGCTGTCAAAGCCCAGAGGACGTCCAACCCCAAGAGTGGGCCCCAAGATAAACCGTGGACTTGTTAGTTGCAACAAATGTCCCCACAAGGTGAGATGGGAATAACAGGGGAACTGTGGGCAGAGGAGGTACCAGCAACATGGTACTTTCTGTTCAACTCTTCCCTCATTAGACCTTTCCAATTAGACCTCAAATTGCTCTAAAAGAGAAAGCCTCTTACAAGCAAAACAAATGCAGGCTCTTCTTCCAGTGGAAAAAACGCAGAAGACAGGTAACAGCTCAGGCTTGGAGTCCTCATGGGGACTCAAACGCGCTCACACTGACCCCAGGCAAAGGTTAACACCCGAAGGGCCCTTCATTCCAGGGCAGGAGCAGGGAGGACTCTGGGCTCTGGATCTCAACAGCCCTGGAACCCCCAGGCTCCCAGCTGACACCCACATGACCCAAAGGCCTGGGGCCTGGCACAGACCCTCTCTTAGCCCACAGGATGATAGTCACAGAGACCCAAGCTCCATGTTCCCTCCCTTGGGAAAACCCAACATGCCCAGAGGACAATCCCAACGAGGCCAGGAGGGAGCCCGTGGCTCAGCTCAGACCAGGAGCCTGTTGCAGACTGCTTAAGGACACGGACTTCAGGGTAAGACAGAACTGGATCCAATCTCCGTCCCGCCATGTGTGACTGACAGTAGCGGGCTCAAAAAGAGAAATAAGAGATAATTGTACAGAGTCAACTCATGGGACGTGGCCACTTGTGGTCACCTTTTCCACAGGTGTGCTGAGCAGACCGGTTTTGGGGTGACTGCCTGCCTGGCCCCCATCACTGCAAAGGAAAGCAGCTCCAGGCCTGCTGTCCCATTCAAATGCCACTCTGGTCAGCCTTTCTCCAGGGAAAGCCCAGGTTCTAAGACCACACGGGATCATACTACCTTATAGCAGCCCTCCTGCCTACTCTGGGGCCAGGCCAGGTAAGGAAAAAAGTCACAGGGCCCGTCCCTCACTCATGACAGCCCCATGACAGGATTGGTGAGGTAATTAGCCATCTGCAAGGAGGCAGCTGAGCCAAGACTCTGGGTGCCAGTAGACAGGGAAAGAGAGGGTATGTGGGCTGTCCAGGCCTGCAGGTTTGGGGAGAGGGGTCAGGTGTGGGGCTTCCCTCCTCATGGTAGTGAGACACGTGGTAAGAAAGGTGAAAGAGGAGCAACCAGCTGGACGTGGTGGCTCACGCCTACAATCCCTACGCTTTGGGAGGCTGAGGCAGGAGGACCACTTGGGGTCAGCAGTTCAAGATAAGCCTGGACAATATAGTGAGACCCCCATCTCTACAAAAAATTTTTAAAAACCAGCTGGGTGTGGTGGCACATGCCTGTTGTCCCAGTTACTCAGGAGGCTGAGGCAAGAGGATCGCTTGAACCCAGGAGTTGGAGGCTACAGTGAGCTATGACTGTACCATTGCACTCCAGCCTGAGCAACAGAGAGAGACCCTGACTCAAAAAAAAAAAAAGAAAAAGAGAGAGAGAGAGAGAAGTAACCAGGCCTGGGTATGGCAGAGTGACTCATACCAGTGCCTGAAGGACTGTCTCCCAGAAAAAAGAATAGCCACACTTGATGAGGGAAACACGAGCAGAAGCCAAAGAGAGGTAGAACTCAGTGACATGGAAGAGTCACTTCTAGCCAGTAGAGTTGATACACGTGCTCTCCTGTGAGCTACCGGCACTCCATCCCTGACAGCACCAAGCAAGAGGCTGGCTGAGTACTCCCCAGGAGACAGAAAACCAGGCACACTGGGCTCAGTGACTCCAAGGGCCCCAGACATGAAGGGCACACTGCTGGAATGTGTAAGCAACCCACAAGCTTGCCCCCCCACAACAAGGTCTGACTTTTCAGACCAGTGTCTGCCCGCCTGAGTGTCCGGAGTCACTCACCAGGGGCAGCTCTCTGCCTGGCCAGCATATCTGATAGATGGAACCATAGGGTAGGCTGTGGTTGGAAAGCAACTGGACCCCACTGCCGAGGCATCTCTGATTGGAGAGAGAAAAGAAAGATCTGTTGAAGCAAGGGGGTGACTGAGAAGCAAGCAAACCACACGAGGAGCCGGGGTCACCTATGACTCATTCGGCCATTTTTATCCCATGCCTGCCACGTGCTAAGCACTCTGCAATCTCCTCAGTGTCTGAGATGCCCATAGAATCCGGTGGAAAGAGAAAATGCCATGCCTGCAGCGCCAAGGCCTCTATCTACCCTTCTGACTCTGAAACTGCCGAAAACAGTCCCAGGAAATGCCAACCCGCATGGGAAGAAGGCTAACTGTACCAGCACAATTTAATCCCTTAGACTGAAAGTGGGCACACTATGCCTAGTGGCGAGCAGTCTTCTCTCATAAGCCCACCTCTGGAAGACTAAGACCCTGGGCATTCAGTTTCACTGCCCTAGGCACAACCCTGGTATAAATCTGAGACGTCCTGCTCAAGGGTTGGACAGCAAACAGGGCAATTTAGGGGAGTCAATCTGGGCAAAGGCCCAGCTAACCTCACGTGAAAGTGTCTTTTTTTCCTACTAAATAACAAATTTGAAGTTCCATGTGGGTCCTGACCAACTCTGCACCACTGCATGGATCCTGCCACCTTGTCTCATGACCCAGCAGAAACATTATCCACTTCCACATTTCCTGGGCCTTTCTTCTCTCTGTTGCCTGCCTCCTAGCTCGGAGACCACAAGTAACAACCCTAATTTATACAAGTGCCGCTGTCTCCCATCGTTATTTGAGTATAACTCTTAAGAGTGTAACTTGTTTTACTCCTCTACATGCCTACGCCCATTAATTCTAGAGCCACCAACTTCAGCAACCAAATGAAACAGACGTGGACTGCTATCTAACCTGGGAGGGAAACCTCAGCTTGAGGTTGGTTCCCTCTCAGTCTTGTACCAAAATCCAAACGCTTATAAATTCAGCCTCTAAATCCTGACTCAAAAGATAAGAAGCTGAGGAAAAAAAGATTTCCGTCCCGAGTCAAAGACATATTTTTCCCAACGTGTGTTTCCCACAGGATTATTTTCCTTCCTCTTAACAGTTTGGCGTGGCGGTTCATGCCTGTAATCCCTACACTTTGGGCCAGTAGTTCAAGATCAGCCTGGGCAGTATTGCGAGACCCCATTTCTACAAAAAAATTTTTAAAAAATCAGCTGGGTGTGGTGGCACACACCTGTAGTCCCAGCTCCTCAGGAGGCTGAGGTAGGAGGATCACTTGAGCCCAGGAGTTCGGGGCTGCAGTGAGCTATGATTGCATCATTGCACTCCAGCTTGGGCAACAGAGCAAGGAGGAGTGTGGAGTCAGACTGACCCTGGCTTTGGACGAGCCCTGGGGCTGTGGGCAACTGCTTAACCTTTCCCAACCTACTGAAATCGAGACAAGTAGCAGCAGCACGAAGTACTCTTTTCCGAGCACCTGGAACACCCTTGTCTCCGGCAGCCCTATGAACCCAAGAGCCCTAGCTCTTAGCTGGGGCTGGAACCACCTCCTGCACGTCCACACTGAACGTCACAAGCGACACAGCAAGTGAACTCGGCAGAGGACCTGCCATTTAAAAGCGAGCTGTGAATGTCACTTTTGCCTTCGCCTCTTTTTTTCTCCACCCGGCGCTGCCGCCCCGACCACCACTCACTACCCCGTGCACATGAGCTGCTCTTGAGGCACGGGGTGATCAGCTCCCTCCCCAGGTTCCGCGCATCACCGCCCCGTGCCGGGAGCTCTTGGTCCCCGCCCTCAGGCCTCGCTCCGTGGCCCCGGCCCCGACCTCGGTTGACCCAACGACCCAAACCCAAACCTCGCGCGGAGCCCAGGGGAGGGCTGCGGGAGCCAAAAGACTGAGGAGAAGGAGACTTCGGAAGCTGCAGCCCGGGATCCCCCAAACCCGCCCTGCCAGCTCCGCACGTCTGCTCACCCGTCGGCAGTGGCACCAGCCAACCCGCAGCACCGCCACCGCCATGTTGGAGGATCCCGTGTGACCTTCCAGCGGCGCTGACCGATTGCGTCATTCGCGGCGTCTGCCCGGCACGTAGCAGAACTGAGAAAAGGAGGGCTGGTGGGCGGGGCTTCAGAGAGGGAGAGGTCTCTATTGGATACGTAATGGGGGCGGGGAATTTCAAAAGAGCTTGGCTTCTGATAGGACAGGGTTTTGGCAGAACGAGGCCTGTGACTGGATGAGGGCTCGAGGGGCGGGTACTCCTGGGAGACTCGGACCTATGGTTGGGCGAGACTGAGAAGGGGCGGAGCCTGAGGGCGCCGATTCAGGCGGGAGCGGTGATTTCCCCGCAGCTTGCTCAGGGTTCTGGTGGCTGGAGGGATGGGCACGTGCATCGTCCCAACTCAGGGACAGATTTTGTTGGATTCTGACTGGCCGGCGGACCACCTCGAGAGTGACTGACTCTGTCTCCCTCCGGGACCATGACTGACTGACTGACAGTGCCTGACAGATTGGCATGTGTAGGAGAGCGAAGGAGCCCGCTTTTGTACAACATTTTGGAAAGACACCTGTTGGTTTTGGCCCAGAAAAGGAAGGGGAAGCTGAGGCTAGGCTGGGTGTGGGCCAGTCCTCCATCGATTGCAGTGTGAACCGACACACCGTGCCCGGAAGAAGCCCAGGCCTTTGCCATTTCAGCACCTCAGATGCTATTTTCCATTTGGAAAATGCCGCCACCAAGTGGCAGGACTTGAACATAGCCGTGCAATCTGAACCCGGGGACAGGAAGAGGGCTAGTCCCGTGGGGGAGTTCATGTATGCACTGTTTGTCCTATTAAAGCCTTTTGCATGATTGACCTGTGATATGGGTTTATAGGGCTTCATTCCTTGAAAGGGAGACAGGTTAGCACCGGAGAGCGTGCACTTCCTGGCTTCGGGGCTGGACAGACCTGTGTTCTCCGTCTCTCAGGACCTCGAGGCGAGAGCAAGGGATAAGGGCTTCCACCTTGGCTTTGTTTAAATCTTTACGCCAAGAGAGGCAAACTAGTGAAGCGGTTGGGGTACACAGGTTTGCTGCTGAGAAGAAGGGTTGGGCCAGAAATTCAGAGTCTTAGTTGTAGCTGAAACCACCGAGTCGGACAAGGGTACCCAGAGACAGAGTCACTGGGCATGTCAAAGGCCGAAAGGTAAAGTGAGAGAAGAAGAGCCCTTCGAGCCAGGTGTGGTGGTGCATGTCTGCAATCCCAGCACTTTGGGAGGCCAAGGCTTGAGGATCGACTGAGGCCGGGAGTTCGAGAACAGCCTGGGTAACATAGTGAGACCCTTTATCTACAAAAAGTTTTAAAAATTAAGCTGGGCATGGTGGCTCACACCTGTAATCCCAGTACCTTGGGATGTGGAGGCGAGAGGATTGCCTGAACCCAGGGGTTTGAGACCAGCCTGGGCAACCTGGTCTCTACAATAAAATTTTAAAAAATTAGTCAGGCATGGTTGCCTGCACCTGTGGTTCCAGCTACTCAGAAGGCTGAGGCAGAAGGATCACCTAAGCCCAGAAGGTCGAGGCTGCGGTGGCCCCTGCTGTAGGCAGAGGAAAACAGTCACCAGCCATTGTCCCCTACCTAACTTCTTTTTTTTTTTTTTTTTTT